AACTTGCTGTTTGTGAAAATTCTTTTTATTCAGACATGCTTTTCGGTTCTCGTATAAATTATGAAGACTATGAAATGGGTGAACATGTTTCTACGCTTGTCTTTCCATTGATAATTTCAGTAAGTTGAATGTAAATGTATGGCATCGACCTATGAATAGCAAAATTTCTGCAATTGAGAATTCTTTTATGCGTTTAAGACTGTTAATTAGGATGTAATTCTTAATTTATGTTGTGGAGGATATGTCTGAAAATTATTTCGTAGGTCGTAATGGCTTTGGTTGAAAACTTGTGCAATTCTATTTGATGTCTTGTAATGTTTGTTCCTTCTTCTATATGCTATGGGGCATATGTTTCTTTGATCTGTTGTAGTTTACACCTAATGATGGAATCGGAGATCCTTGTACCTGCTGATGGGCTCAAACTGACCCATCAAAATGGGTTTCATGAGAACGTTTCTGCCTCCTCAGAGGAAACTGTTCCTGAAGTTCTTGTGAGCGAGGGCATAAACAAAGATACAGAGGCTACAATGCAGCAAGAAAATATTGAAAATGATCTCAAATTGAGTGGCGGTGCAATTAGTGAATCGACCACGATGGAACTCACGGAGGGATTAAATTCTCCGGCAGAAAGCGATATATCAACCCTTTCTAAGGCAGACTTCTTTGTATAATCTGATTCTTCGGATGAAGTAGTTTATCTTATTTGATTCTAACAGGTGCACTTTCTTCTTTGATTGTGTTTTTTTTAGGAAGGAGAGGAAAAGAATGTTGATCCTCCCAAGCAAGTGAAACCAGAGAGGGGTCAAATCAAGAGCAAGAATGAAAAGTCATCAGGCCCTAAACACATTTCTTCAACTGGGGTGAATAAGAATAAAGATGGAAAGGATGCAGAACATACTGCTGGTCTTTTAAATGGTTCGGGTACAGGTACACCGCATCCACATCCAAAACGGCCTAGTAAGAGTAGATCATTCAATGGCAGGCAAGCTGAAGCGCTGAAGGTAATCGTTTCTGCACATTGTCTTACTGCCTCATCTATGCCACGATATCCGCCCTTCCCTTTGAATTTTTTATTATTTCTTATTCTGCTTAATGATTCCCTTCTCATATTCTTTCCATCTGTTTCAAGCAGCAAGCTGATAAGTCTGATGGTGAAGGCTCCATGTATGTTCTGCTTGCTTTTATGATTTTATTCTCTCTTCTTGGTTGGTTAAAATATTTTCGTTTTGTATCTAATTTGAGATCTATTTTTGTATACACTATGTATGGAAAGAGTTTCTTGGACTCCAAAGAACACTAAGTTGTGACCGATTCTGTGCAGGGAGAGTATGAACCTGAAAACTTCGAAGAAAGGTCATCCTAGTAAATCAGAAGAAGAATCAGAATCTTCTTTGTATCCTTAGTTTCTTATTTACTATTATAGATTTTCCTGAGATAATTAATGTGCTAATATTTTTAGGCATTGCTTCACGTTATTTAGCTTCTTGTTCTTTGTTAGATCCGAGAGTTTATCCTTGAATTGTTTATAGAAGTCCAAGAGCAGGGGATGAAAAACCAAATAGGGTTGGGAGACTTCCTAACTATGGTTTTAGTTTTAGATGCAATGAGCGTGCTGAGAAAAGAAAAGAGGTCTGTTTTTGTATTCATTTCCTTGCACTTCCTTTTGTATTTTACTGGTCGTCTTCTCCAACGATTTCTGTGTTCAAATTTTTATTTTCATATATGACGTGGGACAGTTCTATTCGAAACTTGAGGAAAAGATACAAGCTAAGGAAGTAGAAAAGAACACATTACAGGCAAAATCCAAGGTATCAACGTGTCTATTGTCACTTTAATTTGTTCAACATTTGACGCATGTTACTAGAAAGTCCTTCTGTTACAGGAAACTCAAGAGGCTGAGATTAAAATGCTCAGAAAGAGTTTGAACTTCAAAGCAACTCCCATGCCGAGCTTTTATCAGGAACCACCTCCTCCCAAAGTAGAGTTGAAAAAGGTAACATGTTGCATCTGAAAACGAGATTGAGTTTGGAATTTATTAATATCGGTTTCAAAATTTATTGATTCTCTCATGAACTTGTGGAGACAATTTCTCGTATTTTTGCTGCTTAGTCTGGATCGTAATCATGGCTCTCATGAAGACACTTGCTTAACTTACTGCTGTCCTTTTATAAAATATATACTATAGTGTCGTCCCGGTAGGTCTTTTGCATGCTAGCCGATAGCTGTCAATCACCCTCCATATCATGTGACCGAGGTTCTTAGCGTGACAGTCTTAGATGACGTCATTATAGTTTCGTGGTATCTCTAAAGTTTTCTTGTAGAATAGTGGTTTAGAAGCTCCATTGGCCATTTTGATCTTTTTAATCAATTCTCGAACCCCAATGTCTACCATCGATTTATTTAGTAACTCTTTCTTCCTATACTTATAGTACCCAAAAATGATACATTGGAAGAATCTTTTGGCTCTTCCAATATCAATAGGTTGATTGTTTCGCTCCTATATCTTCCAAAAGGAAAAAAGATCTCTAAGAACTCTTTCTTGGATATGAAAGAGAGTACTTGGGTTCTCCCAATAACTGGGGTTCGTGGTGGTGGAAGAACTAGATCGGAAAAAAGAGATATTCCAGTTATAAGCAAAGGGTAACAAATCAAAGACAAATAGCTAACATAAGCATAACTTAACTCAACTAGTATGATTCAAGAGGTCAGAGTTTGAATCCTTGGCCCCAACATAAGCATAACTCAACTAGCATAATTCAAGAGGTGAGAGTTTCGAATCTTTCACCCCACCCCCCTAGTATGGCTGAAATCAAAACACAATGTTGACAAATGGTTTTTGATGTAGATACCACCTACAAGAGCCAAGTCTCCCAAGCTTGGCCGAAAAAAGAGCCCAACCCCGGCAGAAATTTTAGGCAATGAAGGTGGTGATGTGCGATCAAATCGCTTAAGTCTCGACGAGAATGTGGCTCTGAATAACAACAATTCTAAGGGGGTCTCTCCTCCTGCCCGTTTAGACAAGCCGAAACGTAGGTCTCTTCCTAGACTGCCTTCTGAGAAAACTACAATACCTGGTGCCGCAACAAATGCAGCAGGGAAGTCCTCAGCAACCAAGGTGAAAAGCGTTGAGAAGCCTCCTGCAGTATCTACAAATGGAAAGAAAGAAGAAAAACAGGTCTCAACTGAAGCAATAACAACAACACAGAAGTCTGCGATAGACAATGAGGAAACTGCTCCATTGAATGCAACAAACAAAGAGGTCTCACTCAGCCAGGAGGAGAACGGAGGTGCAACACCGGAGCCGAGTGAAACAGAGAGCCAGACGGACGAAGAGCGGGAGATCGAAGAACAAGATCAGCATCATCAGAGCTCGGGGGAAGACGCTGCAGAGCTGAAGCAGTCATCGAGCATTGTGGCGCCGTGATGGGGATGCCATTTTGGAAATGGGAAAAATGGTATGAGTCCTGAATGAATTATTTTGGCACACTAAGAACTGAAGAGATTTGTCTTTGTGATTGTTATGTATTATGTATTATTATTATTATTATTATTATTATTATTGTTATTATTATTATTATCACTATGTGTTCTGTCCATAAGCAGTAATTAGCGTTGTCCCTCACTTTGTGTGCTTCCTTCCATTAACGGTGTCTGGTTGCGTCACTTAAAGGGATTTGCCATTTGTATGTAACTTTCCTTTTTCTTTTTCTTTTTTTTTTTATCTAATTTATGTTTCTGCCTCTTTTTCATTATAAATAAATATTATTCCCAACTCTGAGAAACCTTTGCAAATCAACGCCTTACAAAAATTATTGAGATATCTAATTTCAATTTGCTATTTTCTTCATTTTTTTTTTTTTTTTTTTTTTTTTTTTTTTTTTTTTT